TATGATGGGGTGTGTGTATGTCTTTGAATCAGTCTTTACTCCTGGTGACTGCCTGGACAAGTCCCTGCAGTTTTCTTGGCAACATTTTTGGAAGTGGTTCAAGTGGTAATCTGGATTTTTGCAGCAAGGAATAATAAACATGTCCCTAAGCCCAGGTAATGCCTCCCAGTGATTGTTCATATTGAGAAGATTGGGGCTCAAAGCAACAGGGAGTTAAGCCACAGGGAAATGCCATTTGCAGTTATATTTCTCACTGTGGAACAGCCAAGGCAACCACACCCCCAATTCTGAATTGAAATGGGACATTTGGAAAATATAATTCTTCACCGCAAAGGAGGACAGTAAGGCGTCATGAATGTAAAGCAGTTATCTCATCTTTTATTATTGCAGAGAGAATGCACATGTTTCATTCTCTCATCCATCTTCAGCACTAAGAACACAATTTCAGTGCAGGAAGAAAAGTGGGAGAACACTTCACCCAGCACAACCTTGCTGTTAAGGCTATGATTACACCCCAGTCAATTCCACCCCATGTTTATTCTTCTCAGAGTTGCTTTTAGGCACTTCACAGATGCTTAAAAAAAGGTTAGAAAAGACAAACAACCCGATATATACAAACGGTAATGAAGTTTTGATTTCCTTTTTTTTCCTTTATGAAAACTAATTTAGGAACTAGCATTTCTGAATGGAAGAGTGTCTTCTCATATTACCTCTCTGTCCTAGTCTGACTTCTTAACTACTACAACACCATGACTCTTAGGAAAAGTACTGGAAGTTGGGGAATGGCAGTGTCCCCTCCCAACCCCCAGCAAAAAAATCTGCACTCCTTTGCTATCCTCCTATTCCTTACATAGCCCAAAGCAAACAAGGACAGGCTTCCTTCGTTCTTTATAATTCTGCAGAGGGAAGGAATTTGAACAGGGGCTACTTGGCATGCTAGGTTTCGTCACCCATGTTCACTCCCTTCAATATGTGCAACAAACAGGATTTTTGTTACAAGAACTTAAGTACATGCAAAGGATCTGTTGTAATAGCAAGGCAGAGGAGTTGCAGGTATTTCTTGCCACTGAATGAAACCTGACACTGGCAATATCTGTTGCTGACTAATACATTCATTCCACAATCTCCATCTTGAAATAGATTATAAAACGGCAGATTTGGCTTGAAAGATCTAGCTTTAATTTTATCTTTTTTGCCTCTTCTCCATCCTTTTCTTCTGAAACATCTTAACTGATGACAAATTCTGAAGAACCTGAAAGATTGTTCACTCTTATACCACTTGTTGGGGTCTAACAAAGGTAATCTGGATTTCCAACGTTTTTTCTCCATGGACCAGCAAGGCTGATTTTGACTTTTTTTTTTTTACTGCTATGGACCCAATCCTAACCCAAGACCTAACCATGGAGGTCAAGTGGATGCTCTTAATCTGGGCACTTTATCTTCTCATGCAAGTCTCAGGTATGATTGGGGAGAAGAAATTTTAAACAGTGGCATCATTTCATTGTGTTCAGGATCACCTTGTCCTTTTCCAAGCCAGCCAATGAACTGAAGCCTCTGGGGCAGTCCTTTCTTTAAACATATGAATTGCTTCATAGTTCTAACTTACCTTTTTTGAGGTGGGGAAAGGCAATGCTTTTTATTTTTACATGAGAAATATAAGTAAATAGGTTCTTTACCCTACACCATATCCCAAATTAGTAAATGTTTTCATCTCTTAAGATTTGATTGGCAAGCAGCTATTAAGGCAATGAGCGCTGCTGATAAAAGGATGACAAGGTCAAGCAAGCACCCTCCTTATTTCATTGTGTGCAAAATGCAATGTGTTAGAGAGTAGCTACAATGCTGAAATCTGAATGCGTATTCAGGGAATTTATTGATTTATTACAACATTTGTATAGTGCCAATATGATTCCCAATGATTTACATTTAAAAACAATAAAAAGCCCACTGATTGACAAGAGCCATTGAAAATAGCAAATTAAATAACACCCACTGGTGCTCAGTCCCAGTGTTGACAATTACCTCTCAAATGCTCCTCAGAACAGTCCTGTTTTTACAGCCGTTCCAGGATGGGGGTGCCAGAGGGAAAGGGCTACAGCTGGAAGAAACCTGCTTCCAGGGTCTCCCTGAAGTTCTTGAGTGGTAGGATCTTAAGCTTCACTTTCTAAGATGACCATGTGGAACAGGCTAGTTCTACTTGAAGGAGGCAATCCAGAAGATAGCTGGGAACCCACACCATGAAGGGCTTGAGAGATTAAAACCAGCACTTAGATATGTAAACCAGAAACTTATTGGAAGCCGATACAGGGCCCACAAAACTGGTGAGTTGTAATAACTCTCCCTTACCAGTAAGAAAGAAGTATTTTTACATCAATTACAGTTTCCAAATTATTTTCAAAGGCAGCCCTATATAAATACATTTCAGTAGGCTAGCTTCAAGAAGCCAAGGCATTAATGTCTGTTAATTCTTTGAGCTATCATTCAGTACCATGACTGCTACACGAATTTGTTAATTAGTTACATATATCTCACCTCTCCTTTAAGATGTTGCAGCTTAGTGAGAATGCAAATAGTCCTATATTTAATCTCTGACATGTCCAGTGATGCCTACAATCATTCCTATCTGATACGTTGAAGAGCTCTGCCTTTTGGTATAGCCCAGGTTAGGCAAACCTGTGGCACTCCAGATGTTGGTGAAGTAAACCTCTCATCATCACCATCCAAATATATTAGACTATAATTTCCATAATTCCAGACAGCAGTAATTGGCCATGTCTCCTAAGGATGCTAAGAATCATAATTGAGCAACATCAGGAGCCAGTTTGTCTAACTTAAGACTTTCTAGATGTCTTATAAACCAGCTGTGTTAGATTAATTCCTATTATCCCAGGCAGCAAGTTGTCTGGGGAAGATGGGTATTCCAACACATCTGGAGATGATAGATAACTAGCTGCCAAGAGCAGGTGTTGAAAATACTGAGCTAGAAAGATTAGTGGTTTGATTCAGTATTCACACACAGTTCTAATACATGGTTAGAAGAAGAAAGCACTGTTGCCTGGATAACAGGTAGTGACAATCTATCCCACTATGGTTTAGAAATAACAATGGCTAGAGTCACATAACACACTGAGCCATAACCAAATTAATCTCATTATTGTTCAGAGTGATTTTTTGAACCAGGCTATTGTGATTTACATGCCATGGTTTACGGCTTTAACATTATGTGCTTATTCAACTATAGTAATGACAAAGCAAAACAAAACACTACAGCTTTCTCCTGAATTTTGCAAAGCATTGTATACTTCAGTGAAATCAACCAGCAACTGTGGGAATAATATTCACTGTACAATCTTATACACCTCTACTAAAAATAAGTCCTACTGAATTCAGTGGAATTTACTCCTAGATGATATATCTACATCTAGTAATTTTGCCCACTCATCTGTCCCCTGGCTTTGTTAGTTCCATTTTTATGGTATACATAAACAAAAAATTAAAAATTAACCCGGCAAGCCTGAACTCTTACACAAATATGACAAAACTGCCTTGTAAATCCCCTTC